ATCATTTCTCAGTGTTGCTGTTTATTTTATTTTTCTGACAGGCAGTAAAAGAAAGTGTTTCAGGAGTCATATCCAAAATTTCTATCTTTAGTCACTTAACAGACATTCCCTGAGAATAACAGAATTGTTGTAGACCTAAACCTGGTTTATATTACACTATTTTTGTGACTATAAACTGAATGCCGTTAACACCAAAAGACAGAAAAGGCTGTAATATTGTATAAATAATAGTATTATATTAAATAATACAGAGGTTTATGTGAAAAGCAAATTGCTTTGTTTCCTATCTTATTAAAAATCTGTTCAAAAACAGTACTGCACATCAAATTTAGACTTTAATTGTTTCTCCTAATTTAATTTGTTAAAATTAATCCTTTAAGGGTTCAAAGTGGTAGACCTTTAAGTTTTTTTGTAGGTCTGTTTTTAAGCCCTGCAGGAGGAAGAAAACAACCTTTTATTACATATTTAAATAATCTGAGACACTTTAGTTGCTTTTAGGCTTCTGTGTTTTTCAGCCGTATCAATGTAGATCCTTAGTTTTTCTTCAATTATTGTCAGCTGTGTGGTATGGAGTGTGTTTACCCAACACCTCCTCCCACTGGTGGTGAAGAAGATGCAAACTGTTGGCAATGACTGGGTGCCTGTATTTGCACCTCATTTTGACCGAGCTGTTTTAAACCGCCTGGTCCTCTCTGAGGGAATTGGCCCTCTTGAATTACTGTTCCCAGTCTCATTATCAGAAGGCAGAAAGCAGCCTATGGGGACCAAGCAACTGTTTATATGGGATAAGTGTGTCTAGTCCCACAGGGGCCTGCTAAGTTTGTTTGACCACTGGGCTTGGACTCCCATCCTCTTCTCAGGGCCTCCACAGAATTCCAAGCATGGAGAAAGTGGAAAGAATTGCCAACCTCCTCTTTCACAAACAGGCCATTACCCTGAGACTGCTTGCTTAAAACACCTTTTGTGTAAAATACTGTACATTAATCACATACTGTGGAAAATGTGGAAATTGTGCAATGCACTAGCTGCTCTGGAATCAGTCCTGTGCCCCAAGAAATGTCTTACACTGGCAGTCTAAAATAACTTTTTCTTTTTAGTCTTGAACAGAGAAGACTGAGATTTAAAACTGAGATCAGGAGGCACTTCTTTATACGAAGGATTACGGGAGTTTGCCCTGCCATGTTGTCAAAACCGATCCTGACACTACTTTTTGGAACAGCTAGATGAGATCCTTGGATCATTTAGGTGCTAAAATTGAGATGAACCAAATGGGCCAATTTACAACCTCTTGTTGGCAAATGTTCTTATTTGATTAGCTCACTTAACGTTTGCTGAAGTAATAAATATATTTAAATCAGAGCTGATGCACATTGATTTTCCTTCTGTCATTGGTGGTATGAAAGAACTTTTTGAATGATACATTATATATTGTATTTTAAATTAATAGCAGTGCCTTGTGATGCCTGACACAAATACATCCAATGTGTGCCAAGCACTGCCCACCGTGCTGTTAAATTACAACTCATTCCCAAATTGGCATGGAAATATCGCTTTTCTGTTAACATTTTAAGGACTTTACTGGGAGAAGATTATGAGGCCATTGTACTTGCCAATGGCCACAATTGTCAGAATTAATACATCTTTTTTTTTGTTTAATATTACAGAATAATTTCAGCTACGTTTTAAGCTGAAAACTGTATATTATGCAAAATACATACATATATATATACCAATGTAGTTCAGGTGGGTAGCTGCATCAGCATGCGTAGGCTGCAAAGGAAAAAGTAATAGGTTTATTCCATGCTGAAAAAAAGAAGAAAGAGAACACAACGTTTCGGCCGTGGAGCCTTCTTCAGGTGTCAATATATACCAATGTATATTTGGTAACGTTTGCAAAATGGTGGTTCTGCTTCCAAGCCAGTTCATCCCGTCTTCCCATCACCTGGAAGCTGGCAGCCTGAAGTAGAGGTGCGGGATATGCTGCCGAATGGGTCTGAACCGAGCCGTGACACACAAAAGAAAAGACCTGCTTTTTGCGGGCCACAACATAATTGGACTTGTTTTCAGGAAGCACAAAACAAAGCGTCTTGATAAGTGAGGCGGTGTTGTAAAAGTAAAACTAATTTTGCCTTCATTCACATGAACTATAGTAGGAGGACGGTTTATTGTCCCTGGGAAGGTGATAAGGGAGAGTAATTGTATATTATACTGTCCGAGAACATCTGCCTGAAGACTGCTGGAGCAATTCATCTATCATGGCCGATGCAGCATTTTTTTTTGTCTTTCAGCCTTAACCCATCCCCACTGCTGGTCTGTGGGAAGGTTTTGATAGGGACTGTGCCTGGACTGGGGATCACATTAATCAGTCCCCTTGTTCAACACTCCAGCTGACATAATTACAACCTGCGCACAGCAGTTATTCAAGGCGAGTCCTTGTCACTCGTGGTGCAAAACTACACAGCTCAGATCCCCAAGGAGATTGCCTTATCACACAGAACAAGGGCTCACCGGAGTTGAAGAGAATAGAAATGGGAAAATGTCTTTCGGGAGCACTATATATTCCTTTAAAATAAGACGTTTGCAAGAGTTGCGAGGGACAAAGATGAACGTTGAGCAAGTTTCTAAAAAAAATGAACTGTTTTTTTCTTTCTTTTTGTAAAAGATTATTCAGACATTGTACAAATGTGAGTGTATATATGCTGTGTACTGCATGTCCTCATGTACTGTTAGTGTTGAGGTGCCATTCCTGAACACATTAGGTTGTTTTATGTTATAAAGTCAGTAGTTTTCCAAACTCTGTGCTTCAAGCCCTGTAGGGTCTGTTTTGCCATTAACTGCTTTATGTTCCAATCTGCAACGAGACTGTAAAGCTGTTATATATATATTTCACTACATACAGTATATTCTGTAGGAATATAGTATAAAATATATAGGAAAAATATTTTTAATTTTGATTTTGTCTTTTCTGACAAAATAACAGTATATTGATTTTTTTTGTCTGTGTTAGGTTGAGGAAATAATCGCTTTCTGATCATAAGGTTCCCAGATGATATTGCATGATGTTCTATTTGCAGATATTTTCAGAGTATAGAACAAATACTTTAAGCCATACTGTATTTCTGACAAACACTTTTCAAATTAAACAGATGGCTGCAACTGTTTTTGTCATCTCCCAACTGTTTTGTTTAATTCAATTTTTTCAAATTTCTTTTAAATAACCTGTTGGTTTACCTTGATCGGTTTTCACTCAAAGCTTTTTAAGTTAAATTAAATGGATAGAGCAAACTTTTTTTTTCTTTTTCTTCAAAACTGTTACTGTACATGATTGTTATATCATATCTATTGATGGATTTTATTTGTAATTGATTTTGTAGAAAGATCAAGCAATTCAAATTTTTCAAATTAGAAATATTTTTTTTCTAATTATTGAAGCAATGCATTTCTACAGTGTATTCATGGACAGAAATGCTTTTCTCCTACTCAGCATCACAATTTCAGGGTGTGATTGTGATATTCACGGATGTTCACCCAATTTTGTGTTGTGGAGTGGTGCTGAGACTCATAGTGCTTATTTCATGCTAGTGTTGTTTGCGAGTGCCTTCAGGTGTTATAGGGTTGTCCCTAGTTCAAATGAACTTAAGCTTGAGCAGTTCTCCCAAAATACTCTAAAATACTTTGGACAGATGTGCAAATGTGATTGATGTACAGTAAACTGAAAACTATTCGAGACCTTTGTCTTATCCCATGAGCCACTTGAGCTCTGCAGTGTCTTTTAATGTATTGATCACTCTTTCTTATCAGAACACATTTAAACAAAACAAAATAAAAAAAACAACTCTTGATCAGGTTTGTGAGAACCTGGCCGGTCAATCTTTTTATTCCTGCTATATAATAAGATGTATTGTACATCCTCTTCACATTGCAGCTGGTGTGTTTATAACACTGGGATCTGCAGTGTGCATGCGAGTACTCATGTTTACTGTTACCTGTTGGTTGTTAACATTTAACAGGATTATCTGGTTGATTTCTAGCACGTTTGTTAGAATCCTACCACCTGTATTTCTTAAATGCATGCAGGGCTCCTCATATTTGAGCTATATACTTGTTTTTGGAAAGTTTGGAGCTGGGTGTTCTTCAGAGGTCAAGTTTCTCTCTGTATGTGAGTGAATCTTTACAGTGATGATAGAGCTCGGAGAAGAAAAGATATCTGACTATGGAGTAATAAACAAACACACTTTCAACTGCCTTACTTGTTTGATGTTCATTGTGTCAGCACAAGGGAACCTTCCAATAAACCAGCTGTTGCTAAAAAAAAACGCTTAGGTTTAGGTTCAGCCATCGAGTCATGGCTCCTCCCACCTTTCGCCTGGAGCCTTGTGCTCCATAAATTAAGTGTAGATGGTAGAATGACGCTACATTGCAGGCTATCAGGAAATAAATACCATGCTCTACACATGCAGTTTGTGTGTGCAGGTATTATGTCTGTGCAGATATTTCCATGCTATCTCAAAAAACTGTCTGGCTGTCAGTTAGGGAGAATTGCTGATAATACAGAGCATGTGAGGTAATGTATGAGCTCTTTAAGATGTTGAAAGAAAAAATCCAATCTGTTTAGCTTTTTATACATTATTTCTGAATTTACAAGTAAATGGTGATGAGGTAATAACGGAAAAGTCCTGTGTTTTAACAGAGAAATAAAGATCATCACTTAGATTCCACGTTCACCATTAATATTGAATTTTCTGCTTTCTAAATTAGGAATCACCCTTGTCGCCTTTCCTGCCTCCCTGGTCATATCTCATATCTGCTAAGGCAGAGTTTTGAAAATGCTCTGCCTTCCTTCTTAGTCCTCTGTGGATATTGCTGACTCTTCAAGATTAATTGTCTCTGTTTAAAGGGTCTTAACAATGCTATTAAAACACTTGGCTGTACAGTAAACTTTCTTTAGTAAATGTTTTTTTTTTCTGAATCTGAAAAGTGCTTTTGTCTTGTGCTTCAAGGTCCAACTGTGCCGAGAACATCCGGAAGCACATTCTGCACACAGGCAAACATGAGGGAGTGAAAATGTACAATTGCCCCAAGTGCAGCTATGGATCCAATGCCCCAATGGATTTCCGTAACCATCTGAAAGAAATGCACCCGGACATTGAGAATCCTGATCTGGCTTACTTACATGCAGGTACCTGTACTTTCTCATTATATTTGGAAGGTCTGTGCTTTGGTTGTTCCAAAAGCGACATTTCCTAAGAGGCGTGAAGTCCGGACTGGGTGTGTTAAAAATGTCTGGTGGGTACACACAGAGATTAGTTTTATCCTGGTTTGATTTCACAATAACAAGACACCATGGCCCTGGTTCTGGAAGTCCATGGGGAGTTTTATAAACTGTAGCCTGATTAGGGCACATTTCTATTCTTGCCTGTTCCAGGAGCTGAGAAAAGACGCACAAGCTAAGGTGGTGAACAGGTTCTAATGCAGGAGTGGACACTTTTCTATCACTGCTAATCTGCCCTCAGACTGCACTTTCTGTTATTGCAGGTTTTTTTTTCTTGATTTTTATGTGTGTGTAGGTATAACATCATACAGCAGTAGGTTTCAGGAAAGAGCATGTGTCTGTGGCACTACCATCTCCAGTCAGAGTGTCAAGTATTTACAGTATTTGTGCACTAGCACTCAATCTCCTTTCAGTGACATTACTATGTTGGTCTTCAGACTGGCAAATTTGCGTCTTCAAAAACGGTGCATTTTGTAAAGTCAGAATATGAGTGTAAGCAGAAGAATGTACTGCACATTGAGGTATTTTTCAGGGGTGTATAAGTATAAGACCTTAAGCTGTAACAGACCATGTTGCTCCTTCTGATGTTTGGGGTTGCTTCAGGTATTGTGCTGTCATAGACTCACTGTGCTAGTAGTGCCCAAGAGAGTTCTGACAGGCTGAAGGGCCTTCTCCTTCTCATGGTCTTACCCATCTGAAAGAGCTCTTCTCTTGGCTGCTTGTGTTGTAAACACACACATTAACACGACTTCCAGCGCAGAGCAGACATAATTACAGAATACCATTGTTTAGCTTTAAATTATTAAAGAAACAGACATCACTATGGTGACTGTAATAGTAGCACAATATAGAAAAAAAAAAAACATTCACCTTTTCCTGACTACTGTACCTAATGGGTCATTTCCTTGTTAAGTGTACTGTAGCAATATCAGTGCTCGGCAAAAACATATCTACAGAAAATATAATATTGATCCTGGCTATCTAGCAGTATTGGTAAGAGTACGCTTACAGTAGATGGCCTTTTGAGTTATACTGAATTGTGACTGAGCAATCTTTAAAATAGTAATGGTAAAATCTCCCTCCCTTACTTCATTTGAGTTCTAGTTTTCAGAAAGGCATTAGCAGGAGATGAAATCTTCGAGTATAAGCGACCACACTAATATCACTGGGCAAAATTCCCAACAGTAGGACAAACATCTTAGCACCCAATTATCAAGATCAAACTCATGGCCAGGTGTTATTTGTTCTGCAGCACAATTTTTGCACAGGGTCTCAGTGCCAGTGCTAGTGACAGTGGCCAGTGTGCCTCTTGAGGAGTGGGCTCGCTGACATTACCCTCTGAAGTGGCACAAAGCGCATTAGGATCCCGCATTTGCATTACGAGAGCTGTCAGGGGAGGCTTTTTTTCTCAGTGCAGTCTTTGGGGCAGGCAGTGCTGTAGGCTATGAATGGGAGGCTCTAATAGCAGAAACTGAAACACCGTCAGACAGGAAAACGTAGGAAGGAAATGATACATTTATCATTTAAATGTAAAAAGGGAGGAAAATAGAAAGACATAATTTAAAAATATAATATTGTGCTGTTTTTTTGTCCATCTGCTTAAGTCTATGCAGACAATATGCAGTATGTAAGCTGTATACATGTGGTCTACATATCAAGAATTAGTTTTTAATAAATGAAAGATGTAAGGAAAATGTTTTTTTCCTGAAAAATCCCCATTCTTCAAATGAGAGGGCCTGGAAAGACACCGTTTGAGGGTGCAGATCCCATGTCTGCTCTTTAAACATCATTGACATTCAAATGTGGAATTTGGCTCCAGCCTAACGAGAAAAGGTGTGGACAATGTGTGCCAGGTCCTGCAGCTGATACCGAAGGAGGCACAAGAGGATAGTGCTGCGTGAAAGGTGATTTAAAACAGCTAGCTGCTTTCAGAGGGCTTTCGGTGCGACTGTCAACAGTAAGATGTGCAGTCAGGTCACTGAATCTTCGGTGAAACATGCAAAGGAGTTTGTTTTTCCCCTGCCTGACAATCTGCAGGAACATAGCCTAACTAGGCTGCGGCTCCATCATAACTCTGGGATCCACAGAGTCCTTGCTGCAATCACTCGCAGACATCTGCAGATTTGAGCACTGATTCAGAATAACCACGTTTACAGTAATCAGAAAGCCAGGCATTCGTTTGATTTATTCAGTACTATCGACATATCAAGGCATTAAATAAAAGACACCTTTGTACACAAAACACTCATTGCATCTAAGGAAGACTGTGCACACAGAAAACAGTGAAGAAGAAAAAACTTTATTGGTTTTAAATATAGAAAATGTTTAATTCCTGTTTGCGTACTCTTTGTAACAGAAAATTACATTTTACGAAGAAAGCAAAATTGCAGTGATAAAAAGTCATTTTGTTGTGTTTCACTTGTGTTTGCTTCAGAAGTTGCTCCCTCCCATGCCAGGGCAATAGGTTTTGCATGTTGTCCTTGCCCTTGCACCCTGGTTATGAAATCAACCCTTTAGATGTTTCTTTTTTGGCAAGGGAAACTCTCTTTTTTCTTGTAAATGTCCAGACATGCTGTCCTAATCTACATTCTGCTTTGATCAGCTGCTGGTTCAGCTTCACTGTGGAACTCTAGACAGTTTCAGGTTAACCTGGAACAGCAATCTCTACAGGGCCTGCTGTTGTTGTTTCAACAGATCTGAACCACACTAGGACCCCACAGAATCCTGGGAAAACAGGCTGGGGGTGTGACCAGCTGCAACTGTGTTTTTTGTTTTTGGTTGTTGTTGTTTTCTATATAGCATATCTTCACAGGGTGATGTAATGCCCAAAGGAGGACCTATCAGCTCTCCAGCACCTGAGAGAAGCAGGGCACTGAATTTAGCTCTGTGCGGGGCCTGGATTCAATACAGCCAGCTCTGGGGTGGGTATAGGAACGTACTGTTACAGCTGATCCAGCCCCTGGGACAATGGGAAACAATGACACATGCGGTGGGAACGGCTGGGCAAACTCTTCTAACCACTGAATGCAAGGAGAAGAATTGTAGAAGCATAAAGGGAAGGAGTTTAGACAATCTACAGTACAGTATGTTGTAAAACATGAGCATTAGCTCGACTGCACAAAAGACCTTTAGTTACTTTATTTCTTGTTTTCCTGTGAAAGTTTAAAATAAAAGTTTTTTGTTTGTATAGCTCCTTTCATGCTCGGCGCAGCTCCGCATGCTTTGCATACAGAATAATTGTTGTATACAGACAAAAATCAGTATAAAACATCCTATAAAAACACAATGTCAAAAAATGAAACACAGGTCGGAAAGCAATAACCAGTCATTATTTAGAATGAAAATTAAATGACAATTTCATTAAAGTTCCTAAAAATAATATGAGAATTAGTGCACAATCCCATAAAAAAAAAACAAATTAAAAGTGAAGTAAAAATAACTACAACAATACAGAATTAAATCAAATCATATGGAAATCATATGAAAATAATTATTTTATAAAAGTCAGCTTCTGATCTAGGTTTTAAGCAAAACAAAGGCGTATTTCAATCTGATTTCCTTAATACCTGAATAGATTACATAAATTATTAAATTCTCTGAAATGACCTCTCTGTCAGACATTTGGTATCCCAGTCCAAAGTGTGAATGTTAGGCCCTTACTTTTCTGATTGTGATAAATAGAACACAAAATAAAAAAAAAAATCAGATTCTGTAATCCCTGCTTCATCGTTTGACAGGAGGCGATTCCAGCTGTGGTCCGTGGTTCCAGCTGTGCTCTATGGTGACTCTCAGGTTCTGTGCTCCTGCATGACAGTGCAAACACAGGATGCCCTGGACAGCCTTTAGCTGTAATCATCCTGCACAGCATGGGGTCTGCTTTTATGGCCTAACTTGAGCTTCTTTGCTTCTATTGCACAAGGAACAAGTAATAGGTTTATTCCATGTTGAAAAAAAGAAGAAAGAAAACACAATGTTTCAGTTGTGGAGCCTTCTTTCAAGCTATGAAAACATTTAAACATCAAATCAAAGGCAGGAAAATGCAAGACAAAAAAATCACAGATGAGGGAAGAGAAATTAACAAGTTAGATATTGCATTAACCTGCCTATGGCTGTAGTCTGTCGGAATAACACGTGGACTTTTAGTGTGAAGCAAATCATGGTTGATGGCTAACCATGCTATTTTCTTTTGAAAGCTGAAGATCAAATAGGCTCCCTCTTGTCACAGCTTAAACTGTCGACTTCCAGTGGACCATCAGCGTGATTGGCAGCCACAGGATACACGTCCATCCTGAAGAATTTTAATTTTCACATAGTGACTAGAATGAAACTTCCACCTGGCATGAAAGGGCTGACTCTCCGTGCTCAAAGAAACAGGGAAAGGGGGAGCTGGACCTCACAAGTGAATCAAAAGATATGAAGTCTCACCAAGAAATACTGCTGATGATACATTATTGTAGCTATTAAATGGTAATGACAGGAATCTGCCTGCTGGATTGAAGGAGAGCACCATACTCGTCAGGAAGCAGGACAGTCACTGCCTTCCAAGTTTGTTAAATTATGACTGGAAGACCTTTGTCGTCCGAGTTTAAGGCAACCCACCATTATTAATGAAAAATAGCGAAGTGCTCAGGGCATGCTTGCAGTGAATGTCACTTTTTTATCCTTGCTAATGGTCATTTTTCATTATATTACAAAGTGTGCTCCTGTGAAAATGCAAAAAAGAAGGACAAAAACGAAGCAAACGCTAGACATTGACGCCCTTTTATTCACGCATTATCACCTTCTGCAATAATTAGAGAATTTTTAGAATTTATACATTCTTATTTTCTTGTTTTGTTTTTGTTGTGGAATTTATTTGATATATTACATTTTAAATGTCTTTTTCAGAGAGCTCTGATCTTAAATTA